AATGCTCTAAACAACTCAAACAACTGGCCTTCCCCCACTTTTCATGGGAGGTAATTCATGGTCTGATAAATCTTATCATGAATTAATTTGCCCTGAGGGTGCATCTACACTGCACCCATAACTCAGAATAAGCTACACAATTGGAGCTACACAAGTTGCGTATCTTATTGTGAGTTAATTTTGAAATAGCTTATTTCGAAAGGCAGCACCAACATTTGAAATAAAGCGCTATTCCAAAACATCCCTTAATGCTTGTGGAACGAGGTTTAGAGGGATGTCGGTATAGCATGTCCATTATTTCAAAAGATATTTTGAAATAACAGGAGCGCTGTCAAGACATGGAATAGCTATTTCAGGATACCGGAAGTACCCCAAAACAGTGTCACTGTCTAGACATATCCTGATAGACTAAACTTCACCTCAGCACTTTTAGTTAAAACCTCCCTTGTAATTTGCCCTCATGGATGTTATGTATGTCAAATTTTTGTTGCATCTGCTGTTGTAACTTCTGCGATCATCTTTGCCAGGCTGCAGAAGGTTTCAATGGGTTGCTGTGTCTGATCCTTTTTATAAGTCTCTAGGAACAGGGAAAACCTGAAGAAAGGAAACTAGGGGAAGAGCTGCTTGTATACAAATATGTTAAGCCTAAATGAACTCAGCATTTTGAAGAGGGTTCATTAAAAGGCTGTATCCTGTTCACTCATTTATCTAACATGGCGCACTTGAGCAAAACTCTGGGGATTGAGTCTTAACTAGCCGAGCAATATTTGGAAGCATTAAAGAACAAAGGCAGCTGCTGGAATGATTTCTCCTCACATATAGTATCCTTGGCACCAGTGGCACTGGAACTATTTTTAGGGGGGTGCTGAGCTGTGCCCCCCTGACACCTGCTTGTGCTCCCCATCATCCCAGGCTGGGATCACACCGTAGATGGCCAACTCTCCCGTACCGGACAGATTGGATGTTATTGCCGCAAATGGTGCCTAATACTTCTGGTCCATGAGAGTTGGCAATTCAGCCATAGCTGGACGTAGCTGCAGAGCCCTGGGTTGGCGGCGGGACCCTGAATGGCAGCAGAGCGTCCAGGGCTGTGGCCTTAACAGCAGGCCATAGAGCCTGCATGGCCAGCAGGTGGTGGGAACTCAGGGAGGTAGCAAAGCCAGCAGGAACTCGGAGGGGCCACCTGGAGGCTGGATCTGGGTCTGCAATGGGGCTGGTGGTCTCTGGGCAAGGGGAAGTTCACAGTGGAGCCAGCCTCTAGGTGCAGGGAAGCCTGATGAAAAACCTAGAGATGCTGCAGTGTCCGTCGTCGTCCCCCCCCCCGCCACACACACATATACTCCTACTTCCCATGCCTATGAGAGGCACAGTGCTTTTGGACACTGTGCTATCTGAACTGACAGTGCGTATCTGTTCATATTCTGGCTTTATCACAAAACTCAAGTCAGTCCAGGGCTGCAATGTCTTGATTGTGTTAATCTATAATGCAACACCAGTGGCAGCTCTCCCTCCCGCTGCTCTGAGGGCCTGAGGCTCAGAAAGGCCGAGCACCCATAAATGCACATAACGTCACTGTGGGGTCTCAAAACCCCTTCATTTTCTTCCTGTCATTTCTTCCCCTGTCTGTGTCACCTGTTGGCTGAACCAAGATCTAGGAAAGGATCAGTTGGCAGTAAGTGCATGACAAAGCTAGTTCATATACATCGCCTGGAGTTCAAATTGACCCCTCCCACTGCCATGGAAACTTACTCTGTGTGTAGGCAAACAAGAAGCCACTCTGCGCTCAGCTATGGCTGCCCGGAGCCTCTGCGGCGTGCTGCAGTCAGAGCAGGAAGGCCAGACCCAACACCGTTATTCTAAATGCTGTCTCCCATCTCTTCTCTCCTTCCTATTGCAGGGACCCTGTTGACCACTCCACAACACACCGCAATTGGAGCACATCCAGTTTCTGTGCCAACGTACAGGGCTCAAGGAGCCCCTACCTACAGCTATGTACCTCCGCACTGGTAAACGTGCTGGCCAGTCCATGTAAGTGCTGACCTATATCTGCCGTGCATGAGGTGTTTTACAACTTCCTCGTAGGCAGGTTGGCTTTTCAAATCACTGTTGCAGGGTGTGCCTGTCCCAGTAACATCAGGTAGCACAGCATTCACCTTCTGCTTTTGGCAGAACTGCAGGTTTTCTCCTTTCTTTCTGTCTTTGTAAGTACAGAAAAGCCTGCCAACATTGGCTGCTGGAAAGCTGTCTAGCACGGGGTAGTGAAAATGGAGGTTCTGCAGCCAGGGCCGGCCCGAGCCATTCGTGCGCCCCGGGAGTGCAGCGCCACCCCTGGGAATGTGGCGCATGCACAGTCCCAGCCCCAGGCGCCCTACAGTGGGGCACCCCGGATGGTAGCTCGGTCAGCCTGTAGCTTGGGCCAGCTCTGTCTGCAGCTGGTGTTCAAACAATGCCTAACCCACCCTTCTCAGGCCTGTACTCTGAGGTAAAGCTTTACCAGTGACCTCCGCAGTGGCAAAGCACAGTAACTTCCCAAGGGCGTGCAGCTTGCCACCGTCAGGAGTGCTGCTTTGGTATAAAAATGTGGGCGCTCCCTGGTAAGGTTTTCCTTCAGAGTGCAAGTCGGAGGTAAAGTGGGCATGTCTTCCGAGGCTGTTAGAGATGAAAGTGAAAGCCAAGGGGTGTGGTATCAGTAATGTTGCTGGCAATGAAAAGGTGGAAAGGAACACACAAGTATTTCCCTTTCGCTTCCGGCCTCTGGGCTTGTAAGGTTTTGAGTGGATGGGGAATCATAGAACGCTAGAACTGGAAGGGACTTTGAGAGGTCATCAAGTCCAGTTCCCCTGCCTTCATGGCAGGACCAAACACCAGCTAGATCATTCCTAATACACGTCAGTCGAACCTGCTCTTAAATATCTCCACTGATGGAGATTCCTCAACCTCCCTAGGTAATTTATTCCAGTGTGTAACCACCCTGAACATGAGCTGGGAACAGAATTCACTTCTGCCTGCAAGTCTAATGCCCTACCCCTTGAGCTACACTGCTCCAGCCTTCACTGCCATTACACATTGTTTTGGTTTGCTACTGTTTATTGGGACAGCGTCTCTTGCTAGTTGTTGCTGTTCATGGTAGCACTCACAGGACTCCCATCAGGACTGGGTTCCTATTACACTTAGGGTCCTGGAAATCCCAGCTGACTATTTAACCCATCTTCTTTGCATTGTCAGACAGCCTGGGGGGTGGGGCGGGGCAGATTTGGGAGAATCCCTGACCCAGCAGGCTCAATTAGCAATCAGCAACTCTCTCAGCAGTGGAGGAAGCTCTGAGATTTCCCTGCATGCCACACAGGCGAGGTGAATGCATTTACATCTCAAATTCATCCTAAGAGTGGTTATCTTAAACAAATCTCTCCTCACAGAATACATTATGTCTGACTAATCTTTTCTGTGAGTAATTGTTACACAGGACAATTAGCTAAGAGGCTCTCACCTGAGTATCCCTAATCCTGTGTGTGTGTTTAAAATCGATTGTGAGATGCACTGACACTATTAGAGGGCCAAAACCCTCTCTAGGTATAGCCCATAGAAAACCTATTTGAAGGAAAAAGTGTTCATAATGAAACCTACTAAGCATACAACGTGTGTTGTGAGGGAGAAAAATCCAGCCCTGTTTCTTCATCCGTGCTTCTAACTGGTTCCCCTGAATTTGTTCTTTTACAGATCTGGAGTCAAACATTGTATGCAACTACTCAAGTCTTACATCGGTGCTGGAGCAACTGTCCCACAGCACCACGTCTGTTTGCAAGAACAAAACAAAAAGTGCAAGGGTCACTTTATGCATTCTTTAGTGTTTTTTGTAAAAGCTGCTTTTTCTAATCCTCTGCCTCTTTCCCCCCTCCCCCCCCCC